TGACTTAAGGTCCCATCTGGTTGCCTTCAGCACCGTGCAAGGTCCCTGGGGAGCTCCAGAGGGGACTTGGGCAGAGTCCCAGACCTCCGCATCCCTGTCGGCGTGGGGAGAGCAGCAGAGAGGTGGACGTGGTGCCGTGGAACGGAAGATGCTATTTGCAGTCAGCCCTCCGTGTCCTCCAGGGAGACGCGTTTCTACTAATTTGCACAGCTCTTATTCTTACACTGGGGCTGGCAGACGCGGCGGAGACCATGGGAGATAAGTGTTGTATCTGCGGATTTGCAAACACACTTATCCTGATCCTGTTTCCCAGGCAGCTCGGCGGTGAAAGTACAGATTGTTCTACGTGTCCTCTCCTCCTCCATATTAATTCTGTACGTGCGGCTAGAAAGCTTCTCGCTCCCATGTCTTCTGCTGCTCCATGCCTAGGCAGGGCCGCTGCTTCCCAGGCTGCCTGTGCCCTGCCTGTGCCCTGCCTGTGCCCTGCCTGTGCCCTGCCTGTGCCCTGCCTGTGCCCTGCCTGCTCCATAGAGATGGGCAGTGTCCTATTCCAGAGCCCTTTGCCGCTAACGTGGAATCATAGAATGGTTTGGATTGGGAGGGACCTTTGAAGGTCATTTAGTCCAGCCCCCCCTGCCATGAGCAGGGACATCCTCAACTGGATCAGGTTGCTCAGAGCCCCGTCCAACCTGAGCTGGAAGACATGGGAGCGAGAAGCTTTCTAGCCGCACGTACAGAATTAATATGGAGGAGGAGAGGACACGTAGAACAATGTTTCCAGGGATGTGGCAGCCACCACCTGGGCCAGTGTCTCACCACCCTCAGCGTAAAAAATTTCTTCCTTATATCTAGTTTGAATCGACCCTCTTCTAGTTTAAAGCCGTTACCCCTTGTCCTAACATCCTTTGGCTAGAAAAGCCATGTGCCTCTCAACCTTCCCTTGCCTCCCCTCCCCACCTTATCCGTTGCCTGCAGGGAAGGGGCTGAGGGTTGCTGGGAGGTGTCTGAGGGACGTCAGGCACAGGGATGCCCGAGACATCGCAGTTGCTGCAGGTGGGGCAGAAGCAGCTTTGATGCTGCTGCCATAGGGAAATGGCACAGAGTTTCGAGGAGGTGGAGAGAAACATCTCGTCACGCAGACGGGGTGGGCCAGGACTCCCTAAAGCATCTTCCTGATGTCCCCTGTGGGAATTCTGCTTCTTGAGTAGCCAAGAGTAAGCGAGGCTCAGCAGCCCATCTCCTGTCGGGACCCCGCCTGGGACAGTGGGCACAGGGTCCGGGGTCTCCTGAACTTTTATTAATATGTACAGCATTTTTCTCACATGGAAAATTGATTTTCTTTTTTAAGCACGAAGTATAGCAGTTTTATAACCTTTCTTCTGCTTGACAGAGGCCATTTATAACCTGCCTTCATCCCTACCCGTGCAAGCTCCAGTCTAACTCATCTTCAAGAAATTCCATAATGCATTTTTAATTGCGAGCTGCTGCTAGGCAAGATTTATTTATTTTTTCAAGGACTGGCCTTTTTGTTGTTGTTTGTATGCGTGCACGTTTGGTGAAAAGGGATAAATAACGCAAGTGGAATAGAAGAGAGCTTTAATCTGGGTGACAATTTATTGATGGCATTTGCCGCCTGCTGGCTTTTATCTATTGGGACAAGGAAAGCCAGCTGGGGAACTGAAATTAAAACCCAGAGCCAGAGCCCCAGCTTGTGTGAATCAGCATGGTTCCCTCAGCTGCAGAAAACTCTTCTGATGAGTCTGGGTCATGATCCTGCCCTCCCCTAGTCCTGCCTCCACCATGGGCCGGTCCTGCCTGCAGCTGCCTCCTCCCATGGGAGGCAGCGAGATGCTTTTGGAGATGATGCCAAGGCCACGTTCGCTGGCCTGCCTGGCATGGGTTGAGATGGTTTTCTGGGTTGGTCCCAGGCATTGAGATGGTTTTTCTGGGTCTCACCAGACTTCTCTGCATCTCAGAGGCTTCCTCATTGTGTAATTTTGCTGCCTTGAGGATTTCGCCCTCCTCCAGAGGGGAGGATGGGCAGCGTGGCTTATGCGGCAGACTAGGTCCTTGCCCTGTGGTCCTTGGCCCTTCCCCAAAGGCCATGCAAGGTGGTACAGGGCCCTTGGGGTCCTGTCCATCGCTCAGGGTGAACTCATCTCCTTCAGATGTAGACGGAGTTCAGCAGCACAAATCCCTCTGGCTCACGGGTGGGCTGTGCCCTGGGAGGGCACCCACCAGGCTGTGGCTCCAGGGGAGGTTGGGACCCACGAGTGACCTTACCACATCCCCTCTCTCACTGCAGTGCCCCGAGGACCTCCGACCCATGAAGGATGGCACCGGTTGCTACGACTACTCCAAAGGGATCGACTGCTCGGATGGCTTCAACGGCGGCTGCGAGCAGCTCTGTCTCCAGCAGACCCTCCCTCTGCCCCACGACCCCTCCTCCAGCACCATCTTCATGTTCTGCGGGTGAGTCCTCTCCAGCACACCTGCATCTCCCGCGAGCAGCTAAATAACCCGTGCCCCTTTCCATCCCTGCCAGCCCTCCTCCTGCGCCACCCATCCCCAAACCGGCGTGCCCACCAAGGGAGCTGGGCACCCCAGAAAAAGGCTGTTCATGGAGCCGACTTCCAGCAGGGAATAGAGGCACCTGCTTTGCCTGTGGGCAAAAACGTACCGGAGTGTGAGGAGCAGTGTGAGCAGATGCACCGTCCTCCTCTCCCCCACTGTGTGACGGTACGGTTCGATCTGTGACTCACCATGACGGGACCCAAAAATTGTACGTTGCGTGTTGGAGGGGGAAGGAGGAGGATTTGTTTAAGAAACACTACTTTTTTTTTTTTTTTTTCCCTCCCCTGTGTCTCTCTTAAAATAGAGTTTCATCCCTGATTTTGGCTGGGATCCTATAATCCTACACAATTTAGCATTTTCTCTCAGGAAAATCTCCCTGGCTGCAGTGTGTTCTAAAAGGAGCTCAGTGATTATCTGGCTTTATGCTGTACAGCTGCAGCCATCCATCCATCCATCCACCCATCCATCCATCACCGCCCCGGCCCCGGGGTTCTGCAGATTGCGTCCCTCGGTTGGTTCACACTCTCGGGCACACACAGGAACCTACTTCACAGCCCAGTGTGAAGGATTAGGGAGAAGGAGAGGAAAAAGAACCCCTTTTGGGAAGGAAATGCCCACAAATTCCTAACAGGAACTCCGAGGAGCATCCTTCGAGTCGTGATGCTGCAGATGCAGCAGAGACCTCATGCAGCCTTGGCTGCTGGCTGCTCCCTGGGGAAGAGCAGCTCAGGGAGCTCTGCCCATGTCAGCCTCTCTTTTTTGAATCCTTTTTTGCAGGTTTGTTGGTTTCCCACATGTGCACCTTCTTTTTTTATTATTGTTTAGCAGCATAGAGCAGTTGAGTCATCAAGAGAGAGCACATTGCCTGCGCCGTGCCTCTAAAGGGGGTTGGAAATCCATGTAGGCACCAGCAGCCTTTGTGGGGAGGGTCTAGAAAATATTGGGACATTAGGCAGTCTGCATCCGCACACACGCAGGGAATCTGCATTTCAATCTGCCATCCCCAAGGACAGAGGCTGTTTCCCTGTTTGTGTTTTTGTTGGTTTGTTGGTTTTTTTTTTTTTCATAATCCCTTTTCAAGGCAGAGCTGCACTTTGGGAACAGGCAGGGAAAAGTGCGACAGACGGGTGGGAGTTTCGCTTGCAGCAGTGAAATGCGGTAGAGGAACGGGAGAGGGGAGCAAGCCTGGATGGAGGTGGGGTTGATGTTAGCAGAGCGCTGTGGCTACGGGGAGGAAGGGGCAGGGAATGGAGGTTTCCTTGTCAGCCAGGAGCCACGTCGCTGGGGATAAGGCCGGAGGAAGGAGAAGGGAAGGAGGGGAGACAGGATGAGCAGTTACGCAAAAGATGCCCCGGATGTCTCCAGTGTCTGTAGTTAAATCACATCCCTGCTGCCTGCCTCGGTTTCCCTCACTGCCTGTTGAAGATAAGCATGTGTGTCTTACCCGCAACCTGCTGGAAAGCGAGACCAAAGAGCGAAGGAGCAGCTGCGCTGGAGCTACTTCCTTGCAGGAGGGCACTGCTGGGTGGAAAGGAAGGGGGCGGGAGCTTCATTTTGCTCTGCTCTTGCCTGGGGAATTGCCTTGCCTAGTTCAACAAGGGCAAGTGGAGGGTGCTGCATCTGGGGAGGAATAACCCCGTGCACCAGTACAGTTTGGGGGCTGACCTGCTGGAGAGCAGCTCTGTGGAAAGGGCCCTGGGAGTCCTGGTGGCCAACAAGATGCCTATGAGCCACTAATGTGCTCTGGTGGCCAAGAAGGCCAATGGCATCCTGGGGTGCATCAAGCAGAGTGTGGCCAGCAGGGCGAGGGAGGTCACCTTTGCTCTGCCCTGGGGAGGCCACATCTGGAGCACTGTGTCCAGTTTGGGGCTCCCCGTTTCAAGAAGGACAGGGAACTGCTGGAGAGGGTCCAGCAAAGAGCTGCAAAGATGATGAGGGGACTGGAGCATCTTTATAATGAGGAAAGGCTGAGGGACGTGGGGCTTTTTAGTCTGGAGAAAAGAAGACTGAGGGGGAATCTTATCAACACTTATCAGTCCTTCAAGGGAGGGTGCCGGGGGGATGGGAACAGTCTGTTTCCAGTGGTGCCCAGTGACAGGACAAGAGGGAACAGGCACAAACGTGACCATAGACAGTTCCATCTCAACCTGCGGAGGGCCTTCTCTGCACGCCGTCCTGTGCCACTGCTGGAGGTGCCCCTGCTCTGGCGGGGGGTGGGATGGGGGAGCTCCAGAGGGCCCTTCCAGCCCTCACCAGTCTGGGATGCTGTGATTCTGTGAACGTTTGTACCTGCCCCGCAGTGGTGTCAGAGGGCAGGGGCTGGGCAGCGCTCTGCAGCGCGGGGGCAGCTCGCAGCCAGGAGAGCGTGGCTGTGGGCAGGCAGGGTCATGCTGCTGCAGGAGGGATGGCTGTTGGGAGCCAAGGGCTCCTTTGCTGGTCGCCCAACCAAGCTGCCACAGAGGATGTGGGCTCTGCAACCTCTGCACCGTCCCGGGCAGCTGCTGCAGGTGTTACAATCGTAGAATCATCTATGCTGGAAGAGTCCTTTAACATCATTAATTCCAGCTGCTAACCTGGCACTGCCAAGTCCACCACTAAATCATGTCCCTAATCACTATGTCTACCTGTTAAATACCTCCAGGGATGGTGATTCAACCACTTCCCTGGGCAGCCTGTTCCAACGGTTGATAACCCTTTCAGTGAAGAATTTTTTCCTAATATCCATCCTAAACCTCCCCTGGCGCAACTTGAGGTCGTTTCCTCTTGTCATATCTCTTGTTCCTTGGGAGAAGAGACTGACCCCCCCTCACTACACCATCCTTTCAGGTAGTTGTAGAGAGTGATAAGGTCTCCCCTCAGCCTCCTCTTCTCCAGGCTGAACAATCCCAATTCCCTCACCCGCACCACATAGGACTTGTGCTTTAGACCCCTCACCAGCTTCTCTGCTCTTCTCGGGACGTGCTCCAGCACCAAGTTGACGATGCTCAGCAGAGACTCATCCTGTGGCAGGGCTGGGGGGCGGCACGCTCAGTGCCTGGCACGTCTCACGTAGCTTCTGGTGCTCCGCAGGTGCGTGGAGGAGTACAAGCTGGCCCCGGATGGGAAGTCCTGCCTGATGCTGTCAGACATCTGTGAGGGCCCCAAGTGCCTGAAGTCGGATGCCAAGTTCAACGACACCCTCTTTGGGGAGATGCTTCACGGCTATAACAACCGGAGCCAGCACGTCAACCAAGGGCAGGTGTTCCAGATGACTTTCAGGTATGGCCCGGCTCTGCTCCTCGTTTTGGGAACATCGGGATGGTGAGATGGGACCAAGGTCTGTTGGTGCAGAGCGAGTATCTCTGACACATCCACTCGGGGAAGAGAGCAAGAGGACAACAAACATCCATGGTTTTCCTACTTGCTCATCCACAGGCAGCAGTGTTGGACCGTCCTGGGGCAGTGTGTATCTCATCAGATGAGTGTTTAATTGCCTTTGATGGGCTTTTCTCGGTAGTATTGCCTCATTTCTTTCTCAACATTGATATCTTGCATCTCTGCGATACCCTGCGACAATGAGTTCCGCCATTTAATCGCGTGTAGTACAAAAGAGCATTTCCTCTGGTGCGTTTTCAGCCTGTGTGAGCTGGTTTCATTCAGTGCCCCCAGTTATAGCACTGGGAGGCACCGTAGATATAGCACGATAAGAAATAACGTAAATAAGCTGAAGGTAAATACCCCACCAGAGCGCAAGTAGCAGATAGCGGGGGGTGCTGGCGCACTGCACCCTGGGTATATCGGGAGTGCCGAGGGTCGGATGCTGGTCAGGAGAGCAGGGTCTGAACCGCCCGGGTTTTCGCCTGTCAGTGCTCGCAGAGGGGAGCTTGCTGGTAGTTGCCGAATTCAGGGCTGGAAAATGAGTTTGTTTATTTTTCTTCGGGTCTCCTGAATGCGGCTGCATTTTGATCGGGTGTAAACCAAGGTGGGCCCATAAGTTCCAGAGCAGCAGTGCTCATCAGAGTCAGGAGAGGGGCCAGCCTGCATCCCACCCAGACACCACCCTTCCTTGTCCGGCATCTGCCGCTTTCTTTCCTATTAAGGCTCCGAGACCTCATTGCTGCCTCTGATTTTAGCTGCAGTTGTGGGTGCTCATGACTCCTGGCCACGGTGTTTTTCTGGGTGTTTTTTCCCCAGTTGAGTGCAAAGCCTTCCCTCGCTGTGAATTCACGCTGAACTCTGGCCTTTTGCTCTCTTGATGGCAGATGAATTACGAGCTCCACCAGCACAAAGGCGCTCGGAACGCCGCAGAGTGCTTGGAGCCGGCAGAGCCGCAGCCGTTGCTGGAAGTGAGAATTGACAGTACATGAAGGCAATTTTCCCAGTGGGCTCCTCTTTGCTTTCTCTCCCTCCCGTGTTACAAGTGTCGGTGGGTCTGTCAGAGTAGAGCCAGGGCTGCAGAGCTGAAATTTGCCATGAGCTGGTGGGTCGAGCAGGTCTGGGGGCTTCAAAAACTCCCCAAGCCCATCTCCTGGAAATGCCAGACCTGGACAGGCTCCCCCTGAATGACATCCAGTCCCAACTTGTGCCATCAGTCTCTATGCATCAAACTGCCTTTTGCAGAGGCTTTAATTTTCTCTCCAGTTCATCCGTAGCCCACCCTTTGCTTGCACTGCGAAGTGGGAGGGTTGGAAAGCCATCCTTCCCCAGGGCTGGGGTGTAAGGGCTACTTTATCACTGCTGGGAAGTGAACGCATCCCCTGTCCTCGGGGCTGAATTCCAGCCAAAAGGCATGCAAGGTTGTCTGTGGGGCTGGTTTATCCTGGGAGATGTGGCTTCTCCATGTCATGCTGTCTGGGAGCATCCCAGGGATGGTGGGTCTGAGCAATCCCAGGCTGGACCACGCACGGTTCCTGCCGGGGCTGCCCTCGGCCGCTTTGCTCTCGGGATAAAACACCTGCGGTGCTGGGATTGCATCTTCCAGGGCTCAGAGCCCGAAGCGCTCCCCGGGGCTGACGGCTGACAGGTTTGCAGGTTAAAAAGCAGGTCTGAAACAAGAGCAAACTGCAAAGCGTAGCCGCGTGTCGCAGGCTGTAGCGTGCCATGCGCTGGCTCGGCAGAGCTCGGGGCTCGGCGGGAGGTGGCACGTCTTGCTCCAGAAATGCTTTCGGCAGCCTGGAAGGTCAGCACGGTCGCCCTTTCCCGTGTGAGCGTGGCCCGGTGGCTCCAGAAGCGGTGATGAGAAGGGCTCGCTTCCCCGCGGCCAGCCTGCCCGGTGTGTCGGAGGGTTACGCCGGAGAAGCACCATTACATCATCTCCTAACAAGGGAAGAGAAGGAGGTTAATGGAGAAGAAATTATTAACTAAAAGATGTAATTTGCCTCTGATTTTCATAGATATTCAAGAACCTCTCTGAGCATTAAGACACCAGCTGTTAGAGAAGCCCTTAATTTGGTGCATTTGAAACATAGCAGGAAGCTGCCTAATACCAGGGATTAAAAGCCTGTTTCTGCAAAGTAGGAGCAAGAACCTGCTATCAGAACAAGGGGCTGAGTATTTTAGAGGGATTTATAGCTGCTGGGATCCTTTAGCTATGCAGATGTGACAGTCCTTTGAATGGTGTCTGCTTCCCATGTCGCCGCATCTTCAGTGTCTTTAATAAATAGGATATTCTCAATCCGCCAGGCATGTCAGCGTGGTGTTGGGAGGAAGCCTTTGTGCTGGGAAAAGCCGTCTCTCGCACCCTGGCCCGGGCAACGCCTATCAGTTACAGCGGCATTTCCGTGCCGTTGGGGTTGGGGTGGTCTCTTTGCAATGCTGATTAGAGCTTCTGCCCTTCTGACGGCTGTGTGGTCCTCCCAACCGCAGCTCGGCACGGCACCGGGACGGAGCTGGTAGCACCGGTGGCTTTATGGTGTCCAGCCAGTTCGAAAGGATGGGGATGTGCAGCAGGTAGCTTTAGAACTCAGAGTAAGGATGGCGTTTGCCGTAAGCATGCGGCACAGCAGGCTGGTAATGAAATGGGAGAGCTGCACAGCTCGGAGGTGCCAGACCTGAGACCAGCCCTGCGGTTCTAGTCAGTGCTGCTTCAGATTTTGGTTTTTCCCTTGATAACCCACATCATTTTATCCAAGGGAGTCAGGCAGCACCCAAACGCTTTGGTGGCATGGCCAAGGAGATGGTAACACCCAAGGGAAGGATGGAGGAAGCAAGTAACGGCTGTGACCCGGGCTGGGCAGCAGCCAGAACAGTTCATGCTATATGCACTATATGTGCTCTGTATGTACAGTAGCGCTGGTGCAACACCTCGTTGTGTTGCACAGAGCCTGTCCCTGTTCACACGTCCCTTCGTGCTGGTACCAAGGACCCTTTCTCCATCCGTCAGCGACAGTGAAGCCACAGCCCAGCAGGACAGGAGCACCAGAGCATCCCTGCAGCTCAGCTCCAGACCTCATCAGTTAGAAGCCCTGTGGATAGCTTTTTCTGTGCAGAGGTGGCTTAATAGCCACTAATTATCGCTGTGGTGGTTGGGGTGCTTGCCTGACCTGTTGGACAAGCCAGCATCAAGGTTCCTGCTCAGAGGAGAGTGCTACTTCGTCACTGTTCCTGCTGGTTTATTGCAAGGATTTCAATCAAAGCCCTCCTGGTGATGCTTCTCCTGTGTGGTCCCTCGCGGGCACTTTGGTGGGGGATAACACACGCACCAGAAACCCACCTCACTCCTTCCACCGTTCAGCCAAGTTCACGTTCAGAGCGGTCTTCTTCTGGACATCCCTCTCTTTTTTTTTTTTTTTCTTTTCTTTTTTTTTTTTTTTTTTTAAAAAGGTTTTTGCGGGCAAAATGCTGTGCAGTGTTAATAAATAGATGGGATTGGAGCTGATCTATTCCACTCACACCTCTTGGTCTAGCCAGGAGGCTCAGTGGTGGATCCAGCTCGCTAAAGACTAGATTAGAGTGATTTTCCCCCCATTGCCTCATGGTGGGGCACAGCCCCAACTCCGCACCATCCCCAAATCACGGGGGGATTATTTTCCAAATGGGTTGTTTGTTCGTTCCTTATCTGTTTTGTGCCGTCTCTTTGCCACGAGGGAATAGAGATTTTTGTTTAAGAGCTGTTTGCGGTTTCAGACTGTTGCTTTTATGCCATTAATATGGAGAAAACCCAAATTACTACCTGTGGAGCCAGCTTTACTTGTCGGATTATTACCGCATGGCAAACGGGATGTCGGAGCAGCGCGTGGCAGAGCGCTCCCCGGGGAGCAGCCCTCTGCCCTAACCGGGGTCCCTTCCCATCCCTGCTCCGGCTCAGCCTCTCATCCCGGCTCTTGCTCCAGCTTGGCATAGCCCCGGGACACGGGGAGCACCTCGCTTGCCTGCGCAGCACACATTTGACCTCCTCGAGAGAGATGCAGTGAGTCAGGGGAGTTCCTGGGTGTTGCGGGCAGATAAGCAGCCAAAATGGTTCGGTGGCTGGAGGGGGGAGCGGATCTGTGTCGGTGCTCCCTCGCTGCAAAAAACCTGCTGAGCACCGAGTGTTTTTCCCCCTTTCCATTCCC